GATATATATGCATTGAATAAATCAATTGACTAGATAATTCAATCAACTAGATGATGAATTAATTATGTTAAAATTTCATTATTATCTAATCAATATAACTTTGAAAAAGTTCCATAAATAGAGATCATAAATTATATAAAAGTCTTGAAAGAAAAAAAATCAAGAAAAGATTTTATGATATATTAATGTTGAATTATCAGAATTTATATTAGAGGATAAAATAGTATTAACTATTAATATTATACTATTAAGTATTAAAGATAATATACTCAAAAAGCATCAATTAAACTATTCAAAACCTTGATGATCTAAAACTCTGACTGATAAATATAAAGAATTAACTAGAGCTAAAAAAGATTAAAAAGAAAAATTAGTATTTATGAACATTGTTACAAACCTAAGGGAACAACCCGCATGAACAATCAAGGAATCATTGGGTAGGAATAAACCTAACGGGAGGGCTGACAGAGACTAAGCGACGGAACGGCAGGACGTGTTTCCGGAGAGGGTACAGATCATGTGACTGATAGATTGGTATGATCGATAGATTCATCTATCAGACCTACCAGTAGATTAGTATGATCAGTATACCAGATCTACCAGATCTACCAGAGGATTTCACCATGTATATAAAGACGCTCATTACCCTTAGGATCAAGGAAGCTTATCTTCTTGATCAAGATCAATTTCATTACACTTTGAGAACACTCTACCTTCCAACTATCCTATTCAGTTATAACCATAGTTTTGGTTCCCTTGGGATACCCTTCTACCGCATCTACATCTCTTACAGATCATTAGAGTCTTAGACACCCGCCTTAGCTATTATCGGTAATAGAGATCAATATTTGTATTGTCCAATTCTAGTGGCAGCCGACCTTCCTACAGTGATCAAGCACGATAAGGCACTTAGTCAACCTGACCTTAATCGACTCAGGTGAATGTTTGCTGTAACGGAGCCAAGTCCGGTTAACAAACATATATAAAGATAATAAAAACAACTACTTTTCTAATATCAAAAAAGTAAAAACTAAATATTGAAATTACTTTCTTAAAAATATAAAAAATAAAGATATTTTTAAAACTTTTAATCATATTAAATCTAAAGAAGTAGTAAAGCTTTTTATATTAAAATATAAATATCAAAGTCAAGGTTATATTATTAATATATTTTAAGAAAAATGTCAGATATTTATAAGAGTTTTATTTTTAAAATTAATAGAATCTAAGAAATATATTTTTATAAATAAATATTATAATGATAGAATAAAATAAAAGTGATCTAACTTAGTTAAAGATGAGTGAGAAATAGTTATTTTCACTAGCTTTACTAAAATAACTGCTGAATTTAACTGTATAAATTATGATAATATAGAATACACTCTGTTCAAATCATTTAACTTTATAAGTTTACTGACTAGATAGATTTTATCTAGCAGGTGAAGCAGACTTTAATTATTAAATAGACAGACTCTGTTCTAGTATTAGCATAATAATTACCTTATAATTATCTTATAAAAACTGTCTAGTAATGACCTAGCAACTATACTAGAGAAAAAGATAAAACATTAAAGATAGAGATAATATACTAAAAATAAAATACTAAGAAAAGAGATAAAATACTTAAAAAATATATAAACTGAGTCCTTTTTAGATCTGTTTTTTAGAAATTATCTTAATATTTATTGATATAGTTTATCTAGTTAGCAATCAAATAGCTGTTTATTTGCATATAGATTGAAGCTATAATATAATACTAAAATTAATTACTTTTTTTATCTTTTTAAAGCAGGTTTTTAGATAAAAAACCTCTGAGAGTCTTTTATTACTTTTATTTTAAATCTCTGAGAAAATTACTATATTAGAAGTTATTAAAAAATTTAATATTTAATAAAGATTGAACCGAGATATGATGACTCTGAATAAAAGAAATATGAGATTAGAGAAGCTCATATTGAAGAAATAATTTATTGAAACAATGAAGAAAAACTCAAATCAAATATATCAAAAGATTGCTAATCTCATAAATAATTAAAGAGATACTCTAGATAGAGTTAGAGTAAAATAAGATGAGAAAAAAAAATAAAGAAAGAAACTTAACCAGCAGATAAATAATTTGATAAAGAAATAAAATATATTATAGCAGATAATAAATTCATTTATCTTATAAATCAGACTAATAAATATAAATTAAATATAATAATCAGTTATACTGAATAACTTTAAATATCTTACAAATGAATAGAAGTTAATATTTAAAAACTGATTTGACTCTCTTAAATAAAATATAGGCTGATTGTATATTAAAAATCTAATAGATAATAAACTTGAAAAATATTTAACTTTAAAAATGAGAGAAAATAATTTTAAAAAGTTTAAAATAATAAAAAAGATATTCAAATATCTGTAAAAAAATATATAAGAATGTCAACAACCTTGAGAATGTTAAAATGAAGTTCTAATTTCTGATGATGAGAAATAAAAATAATTATCATATATTTATAATTAAGTTTTTATATCTAATTGAGAAAGCTTAAGTTTAAACAGAAGATTATAATATAGACTTTTTTATAAACTTATTTTTAACTTATAATTTATAATTACAGTAGTTTATACCAATTACTTTATTTTTGAGAAAGTTTGAAATATTTATAATAGAATTACTCATTATTTTAAAAGCATATCTAGCTCAAGCAATTAACAATTATTGAATAGTAAAAACTCAGAACAATATTACAATAATTATAAAAAAACTCTCTTAATCTAAAATAATTATTAATTATCATTAACTGCAATAGTATAGACTTCTAAAAATAAGTTAAAAAATAAGAATTGAAAAAAAATATAAAATATTTCAACTGTTAAATTATAAATTATATAGTGTAGAATTGCTTATACAAGTAAAAGATAAAGATGATAAAATTAAATTTGATAGCTGAATTTACTAAAGAATCTATTAAAGAGTATTGAGTAAATTGATTTTATCTATATCATAAGAATAAGCTAAAAAGTATTTATTTATATATAATTGATCAAAAGTAAAAAATTATAGATAATTTTAACTACTTTAAAGATTATTTCAAGTAGATTGATTAAATATTTACTGTTTTTTTCTATCAAATTTACACATTGCTGATGAAATAACTCTATTTATAGTTAATATATTTTATTATAAAATATAATCTTGATCTCTTAAATATTTATAACTATAATTAGAAAAAATTTTATTTTAATTAAAATATACTACTAAGTGTATTATTTCAGTTAAGTCTCTGAAAAGTAAGCATATTATATCATTTACAATTACTAAATATTGAGATATTTATATCACTTATAAAGATATATATAAAGAAATTGAATTCATTATCATATTAAAAATTCAACTATTTGCACATCATTAAACATGATTTTTAAAAACTTTTATATAAAGCTTGAAATATAACACTTATACTGACAAATATACAAATAGAATTTGATGTTATAGAGATTCATCTACTCAATTCTGAGTAAATACTTAAGATATTTATTAAATAGTCAATTACTTTTTCTGACACTGTTCAGTCTATTATACTTACTACTGTCTGTAAATTTTACAAAGCTGTGTTAAAGAGATTTATGCACAGTAATCATTATTAAATACTAGTATTGAATAAATTATTTATGCTGATGAGAAGTTTATTTTTAAGAATAAGTTTTTATCAATTAAACTTAACAATATAATTTAATTATTTCAGATAAAAGCTGTAGTAATAAAAATAACACAAATTTCTTAAGCTATTTGATAGAGATAATATGAATAAACTCTATTCTTTTCATCTAGTAAGATTGCAGCAGTTTGTAAGTACAAGACTGAGCTAGAAAGTAAAAAACTATAAAATCTTTTTAAATGAAAGAACTTCAATTATAATAAATTATTCAGCAAAATTAAAATATTAATAAAAGTTTTAAGCACGAAAAGCAGCTCATGAAGCAGTCTGAAAGATGACTTGAAAGATTGTAGAGATTAAAAAATATTAAATAACTAAATATAGAAAGTGAAAAACTGCTAAGAAAATATTAAAACAGTTACTCAAATATTAATATAAAGAAAATATAGTTAAATTTATATTTGCAAGATTTATACAAATTGTCTTATTAGAAAATCAATCAAATTCAGTATTAGAATCACTATTCAGCACTTCTTTATCTTTCTTTCATATGAAAATCAAAGTTAGCTGTTCTAGTTATACTATTAAATCAAATATTTATTTATTTTCTTAATCATATTAATTTATATGTAATCTATAATACACTCATTTAATATTTAATAGCTGCTAGTAATTCAATTCATGATTGTCTCAAAACTCATGATTCAGCAGAGCTGTAGAGTAGTAGATTAGTGAAATCATTGAGTGATAGAAATCATTAAATGGTCAATTATATTAGTTAAATGGAAAACAGGTCACGTGACGAGTGTCCGAAACAAGGCGATACATCGATACCTTGGACAGCCGTATGTGCATGGTTATCAGGCATATGCCAGTCCTCACTTTTGGTTGGAGTTACCAGTCGGCAAACTCTGGCCTTTGCAACACCCCGCCCAATGATGCGACGACTAGAACCAAATTCCACAGCTATGCAAGAAGCCATCACTACTCCGAAAGCTCTCAATCATAGAATGGACGTTTTATTTACCAGGAGACATATCCTATCTCTCAAGGAGAGTCGGGATCTTCGGGCGCATTCGGGTCTAAATAAATTAATCAGCAGTCTGTTTAACAGTGCGGAAGTTCCGAAGGCAAAAAAGCTCTTGCACACTGTCGCCTACTGGGCAATCCACACCACCACAATTTCAGATTAATTATACAATCAGAACCTCCATTGCCGAATCTGGGAGAACCTGGGCTGTTTAGGTTGTACATATATAGTCAAAGTATCTACCCTCTCCAGAAATATAGGCCCTATGTGGATTAGCAACTGGTCATCCATTTGTTACCAGCACTAAATTGGTAAGGATGAACGTTTTGGGCCCTGGTGCTCGTCCAGGATTATACCCTAAATGAAGCACAGCATTCAGCAATTTGATACCCTCTTCGTTGTCAATCTTTGGATCGTAAGAAGAGTCTCCATATTCCCCGTCATCTTTAGGATCCTTCTTCTAGGACCTTCCTGGCCATATACGCTGTGTGATTTTACATCTTCCACTTGCATCTCTCGTGGGCTCGTCCGGTAGTACAATGCCAACGTCAGAAGCAGAAGTATTGTGTTTCAACGGGTTGACCGAAATACTGGGGCAGTTAACCCCGGACCTCCTCCTGGCTTCGAGCTTTTCAATTCGCTCTTCAATAAATAGACGCTGCAATTCGCAGTCTTTCTTGGTCTCGGTACCAATGGCCACTCCATTTAAAGAGCTGCTACAAAATGCACAGTAGACGTCGAAGGAGCGCATTTGGTCAGCTGATAAATCCAGGAGTGGTCGGTAGAATTGGTGTGGCAGTTCACAAAAGCATTTGGAGGTTATCAAATCCAGAAGATTGTGGCAATTCGCTAAAGTAGAGACTTTAAAGCAGGAGATATTGTACATTGTTGCTGAAGATAATGATAAGACAAGATTGCTCTAGAGTCTGCCAAGTGATGATGCTTGGTGGAGTTTAAGGAGTTTGTTAGAAGTGACGTCGATTCTTATTCAATGCCTCCACCATAAATTTAGGCATTGCCAGTAAAGACTAGCCAATCACCAGCACTTAAGTGATGTCTCCCCTAAAAATGGGTCGGGGCTTCACAGGGGTGGTTAGTGGTCAACTTTAGGGGAACGCCTGGGATTCTGGTTGAGTGACAGCATCGAACAAGTTATATCTCCGTTAATTAAAAATTATGATTAGACCCCTGGACTTGGTGATAATTCGTACATGCAAAATCCAAAACCATTCAATAATTACGACCAATATTTTGCCAGAAAACATTACATCAGTTGAGGTTCTTTCTTCTCCCCCCTAACGGAAAAAAAGAAAAAAGTGAAAAAAGCCAAGAAAAAAAAAACCCCTTCACCGAAGATACTTTTGAACCACAAAAGCCTCAACATCCGGAGCCTCAGTAGCCATTTGAGCTAATTCCCTCGCCTGGGCGTTCCATCCACGTGGAATCAGCCAAAACGACACTCTGACACCATCCAGGAACAACCGACGAATGACATCAAGCAGGAAAGCCCATAAATCCCAGTCTTCATCCATTCCTCTCGAAGGGTCCTGCCAATCCCACTGAAGCCATGTGGATATCTGGCCCGTGACGCCATTGACGACATGTTTCGAATCTGTCGCGATGACAACGTTCCTCCAACCTTCACCCGCCCATTGACGGATGGTCAAGGCATGAATTGCAGCTCGAAGCTCAGCCCGCTCTTTTGTTTGTGGATATATGTTACCCGTCGGGCCTGAATTCTCTAACCTGAAGCAGAACCGTGCTACATGGGCATTGAAGAGCCAACCACATGCCGCCCTAGAGCTATCTGATCCAGCACTGTTGCAGACGCCTGCTGCATATACTAACAGCTCTGGCTCTTCCCGGTTCACTCTCCAAAACCTGCGGAACATGCTGTGGTGGGCAAAAGTCTGACGCGGAGTTTGCAAGGGAGGTGGTCCAAAACGCCCTGCCAGCAATGGTGGTGGACTCTCTTCCTCCTGAGGCTCCTCTTTGGGGGTTGGAGGAGTTCTGACCGGTGTAATAGGTTCCGCTGCTCAACCTGGCATTTAGAATTCAAATAGTATACAACTAAGAAAAGGGAGAAGCACAGTAGGGAAACTTATGGAATGTACCATCTCCCCCGGTAGCGGGATGCGGTGAAGTCATATTGTTGACCTATCCAAACCGATTTATTTCGGTTTCCAGTTCGGCAGCAACCAGAGATCAACCCCTTGTCTGGATTCCACCAGGAATACTATTGTTAAAACTTGCCACGGGAAAGCAGCTGTAAAGCGTCTGTACAGAGGCCGATATTTACATTCGGCTCGTTAAATTCAAGATCCCGGACGATCTACCACAAGTCAGTTTAGCGATCTCTTATTTTCTATTCTCATAGCTTCCAATTGAAAACGCACCGGTCCAGCCAATTTATGAAAACACAACGCCCAGCTCCTCATTACCCTCTCTCCTAATATCTGTGGTGTGGTTTGGTGTGTTTGAGAAACACGAAAATCATCTCTTCTAGAAGCCGAAAGTTCCTTGCATTTTTGCCGCTGCTTCGTTGTTTTGCACTCCTAATAAGCTTTTGCCCAAAACGGGAAGCCCTTCCCGCGTTTAACAATTCTCCCCCGCAAAAGGCTATTATTAATAAGAAACCCAATTCCAACCACAATCCAACAAAAAAGGGCTGATCCTCAACGCCGATGTCTTGAAGTCCAAACATCGGCTTAAGGTATAATCTGGTGTTTCCATTCCAGAACTTTAGCCGGAAGTGATGACAGGAAATGTCTCTATTTTTGCTTTTGCCCTTTAATTTTATAGACTGGGTGTCTTTTAAGCGCCTAATTTCCGATGCAAAGCTTCTCCATCAAGCGAGGTTGTCAAAATGACTGAAAAGGCCTTGGATGAATCTGCAAAAACAGTTCCAGTGTGCGAGATTTTCTGTCTTACGCAACCTATGAATTACATTTCTCCCATGGCTAATATTGCCGGAGGATGAAATAATGAGCCAGAATACCGTGGACATGTATTCTAGTGAAGGTACCATCAACGACAAAGCTCTAGTTTGGAAGCAAGACCTCAGATTTGTACCCTGTCAGCTGCTCTCCATCTTCTATGCTACTTGAATAGATCAATCACAGGTGATGTCGGTGGCTGTGGAGGGTCGGAAGATGCGACAAAGATATACAATTTTAACATATCATATACGCGCTCTTTGAAGTGTCCATCGTACCATTTTTTTGAAGAAACTAAAATCCAGCGAAAGGCAAACACCTCTCATTTTTCAACTTTAAACTAGCTTGTCAATTTTCATTTCTAGAAATGGATTGCTTTCCCCACGCTGTCATGGGAGCAGTCGCTTCTGGTCTCGGTGGTGCCAACAACTATGTCACTGTCACCGTTCTACGCCTGCTTCCAGGCATGTCTGAATATTCGCGGGCGATTGGCTTTTTACCTAATCTTCTGGTGTAAAACATCAGAACGCTCAGGGTGTATAGCTATATTCTTAGCTTCTGCAGCACTAGCTGGTGAGTTTGGTGCCATTGCCTTCGCCATGTGTTACATGAATGGACCCTGCGGTCTATCTTGTTGGCGGTGGCTATTCATTCTTGAAGTTGTTCCTTCGTGTGCGTTTGTGATTGTGGTGTCCTTATTGCTTCCTGATTATTTGGAAACAGCCACGTGGCTGTCTCCGACAGAAAGGGGATTTGTGAAAGAATGGCTAAGAGTAGAGGGCTCCAAAGGCAAAAGTGCATCGATGATATGGAAGGACGTTAAAGAGACCCTCACTGACTGGTGTCTCTATACCCACTATGCCGTACGCCCTCTCAACTATATATTTTACGTATCACGGTGGTTTGAAGAGCTAATAAAAATACAGATTTATTTTTGCATCTCAACGCCCTTTTCTAGTCTATCCCTGTCCTCGCCATCCATAATAGCAGTTCTGGGCTTCCCTGATCTCCATGCTCAGCTGATGACTGCTTCTCCATATGCTGCCGCGTGTGAGATCACTGTCAGTGTGTCATGTTCGGTAGACTATTTCAACGCATAAGCTTCTCATCCCTTTTACCAATATGTGTATTGAAAATATTTATCTCTAGGTCAAATTTTGACATGTTTGTGCTGCATCAAGCTTTACACTCTTCATGTTTTTCAGAAAGCAGTACTGTGGAATTTCTCGGGTCTTCCGTCCTCACACCAGAGGTGTACTTAGTATGTTGATTTAATCTCATTCCCCTCTCTCCCTGTTCAACTTAGTTCGGGGTAAGATAATTATCTGCTACAGGGCAGCTATGGCTGCCAAATCGTCTGTAGCAGTTCATTCGCCTGCGTCCCACCACTTCTCGGTTGGTTATCATCCAACTCCCAGACTACCGTAGCTACAGGTCTTGTAATTGCACTTAGCGTCTCGTTTGGCATACCAGGCCAAATCGCCGAAGTCTGGGTTTATAAGCCGGATAAAGCCATGGAGGGATATCCCACAGGTCACTTGGTGAATGCAGCATTGCTATTGATAATCTGTGTGCATAAGAGAATGGCAAAGGCAGTGGGAGGAGGAGGGTGGCGAAAAGAAAATGTTTGTGGGCTGAAAAATGGCCCGATAGCTATTCACGGGACCCGACAAGTGGAATGAATGCAAAGCATCCCGGAAAAAAGAGAGTTGCGCAGTGCATATGGTCTTGTTATTGACGAGATTTTAGGAACAATAATTAGACAGAAATTTTCTCCTCGAGTCATTGTTTACACCAGCTCACGACACGCTCATCCGGAGGCTATTTCCCAATGCCATTTCAAGGAATGCAGAGCAAATACCCTTTCAACCTAGCCATCGTTGGCTTGTCCACGAGCATGTAAGCGGGCTCTCATTCGCATCCGGAATATCGCATAGCCAATACCACAACTGCAAGAGAATCACGGTTTAAACCTGAATGTCTCTCTCCTTCTTGTCCGCTCTCCCATCAGACTCACAGCATAGATTTCAGAATGCGTTAGGAGTGAACGCGACGGGGCAGAATTCATCATCGATTTCAAATATGCACGCCGTTCGGGCTGCCCAACAATTAACTCGCTTTGTTAGAGAATTATCGTAGAAGGTATGAACACTTTCAGCCACCGTCTAGCGGATGTTTCAGGGACGAAGACAGTCTTGTCACTATGCCTCAGAGACATAAACTAGGAGATGAAATGTGTTTAGTTGTTTTCTGCAGATTTCTCAACATTCCTCTTGAAATAATTGGGAAACGAAAACATCTTCATTCATCACGCGATCTTACAATTTTCACAAATAAGCCGAAAGTTAAATCCGGCAATTGAGTGGCAGATTGGGCCATCAATAATCAATGCCTATTTCGAGAATCATAATTTGCTTGATGAAAAGCAAGCGAGAAATTTCTTCCTGGTTTTAACCAACAAGCTTCGCGGGTCAGTCGTATCCCAATATTAGGGACCGTTTTGAAACGCCACAATGGTCAAGTGACAATCTACCGTTGAGCATTTCAGGCCGTTAGACAATCCAACGTGGGTGGCAATGATTGAGCCCTCTCCGATAATTGCCAAGCCCACGAGGAACCCTAGGCAGGGGTGCGGGGGACGCCACTGAGGAAAATGCAAAGGGTGAATTTCTCCGGAGGAGGCGACTCACAACTCTCGGAGCGGGGTGGAGCCCAACTTAGTGGAGACAGAATAATTTGAATTCTTCCAGATTTTACGCACCATGATTTCTTGGCTGCTAGAGGGCCATGACATAACTTGCTGCTTATTAATGTTCCAATTTCTGTGGACCGGAACAGTTCGTTTGAAATTTATCATAGTGTTCTTTCAAAGTTCCCGTATATGCAGTTGTGTGATAATTGGCTGATGCTAACTATTTGTCGCTAATTCTCTCTTAATCGGCGATCGTGTTATATTCCCTGTATTTAATATGACGCTGCCCACGTAACTCTGTGGAGGAGGACAATTCCAACAGGATGTGACTCTTTCGAGCTTACATTGAATATTTGACAGCAGTCACGAAGCTGAGTCCGAAAAATGACCACCCCAAGCAAAAGCTGCAAAGGCGCTATGACCGTCTGAGCGGCACTCCTGGAAGACAGGATGGCAAACATCCGCATCGAATCAGCATTTCAGCTTTCCCAGACGCTTCCAGATGATTTGTGGAAACCGAATCTCAGATCGCGGTTGTTGAATTCTACATCGCTGGAACCGGAAGGATTCGGAGTGTTTCTAACTATGTCAGAAGAAAGAGATCTGGGGTCATTCCCATGGGTCCGGATAATTTTATGCTGTGCAAACCTCTTGAACAGGCTGCTGGGATTCGGAGACCATATTAGGGGTTGGGGTTTTCAGCAGAGCATGGTTCTGAATCGGGTATGCACTCGATGCCACGTAAACGGTGATACATGTCAGGGGGATAATCCTACAAATATGGTCAAGGTGGACGTATAGCTGCAAATAGCAGTTAAAAATCAATTAGTTACCAATCACTTCATGTGGACTAAAATCGGGGTTTTTAACTTATATGGAGTAGTTAGCGATGACAAACAACACCATAATAAATACGACGAGGCTGTTCGATCGTGTTCGAAAAGCAACGAACGGTCCCATCTAGGGTCGGGTGTCAATGAAGTGTTTGAACAGGATACGCTTAGACAGTGAACGGTGCTTGTGTGAATGTTGTAACACTTCCATTTCCGGCCAAAAGGGTATGGAGCTGAACCCCCACATGGACCGTACTCAACCACGGTTTCGCTTGGTCCCCAGTCAGACGGTCAGATCCTCTTTCTCAACAACAGGAATTCTCTTCTATCTGCCTATCTCTATGTAATAAGTAGCCTTGTATTTTCTTATTTTATTTTATTTTATTTTTTAAAAAAGAAAAAGAACGACGAATCATCTGCTTAGATAACTATGCACACCTAGGCGCGGGCCGACAATGGCCCGGGATGGCATGAACCTTGTTAGTCAGCAGTCTAGATGTATCGCTCATCGTCAACTTCAAGCTCCAACTTCAACATCATCTCCTCAGCAACAGTAGCAAACGCTTGACTCTTTTGCTGGTTGTCTCTATCCTACTCCTCTTGTATCACCTTCTCTTAAAACTTACTTTACCTTCTCCGTCGATGCTGGGCTGCTGACTTGCGCTGAAACTGTAGTCCGTCTGAGATCTTGTTATCTGCCACTGCCTCTTTGGATTTTACAGTACGTTTCGTCCCATCCGAGAAATCACCCGATTAGCCTTAGGGAGGCAAATATCACTTCTTCTTTGCCCGGCCTTGCTTCCTGCAGCATTCCCCTCCGGTGCTCCGTATGTATATTATTGTGAACAGGAATTATTCTTCGCCGCCACCTGCTCCTTAAGCTTAAATTCAGCCCTGGATATCTTGCCCTGGTTCCTAGGGCTTTCTCCCTAAACCTACTAACTTTTTTCTAGAAGCAATTGCAGACATTCGTCATCTGTGAAAGCCTTCTCTTAGCTCTTCGTCAGGGTCTTCGCTGGTCCCGTCCCTTTAAATCGCTCTATATCTGTTTCAACTGTGCATGTGTTTTCAGATAACTCCATATGAGCCGTTAAATACGCATACCTTCCACCTTGGAGTCATCTCTTCCGTCGAATACCTTTTCACCTCCTCCTTTTCATACTTACGAAGCCGTGGATCGTCGACTGAGCATCGCGATTTTTATTACAGCAACGCGAGTGGCATTAACAAGAGTTTGCGTAGACACTAGCTTTTGTTCTTTCTCTCCACCCTGCTTTGGCCGCCGTAGCTTGTGGCCGATCATACTCACCGGGGAGAAGCTCTTGTCGATTGTAACCGGGAAGTTTGAATTCATACTACTCCACAGATACGGCGGCTGAAATACTTCTTTGCTTCGACTATCACGAAGTCGATATCCGGATCCTCGCATCCCAGACATTTTGTTGCCCACATACGATGGGTCAGCAACAATCCAAACGTAGTGATGGCGCTGTTATAACTCAGGAAAAACCCGGTGGTGAGGGTCTCCAATCCTACCCTTCTATCTCACGTACAGACACACGGGACTCTAGCCGGTCCATTCGTGGCTCTATACGCTCCAAAATACCCGGCGGCAAAATCGACAGGAACGACAGCCCCAGAGGCTCATTTTCCGCCTTAGCGCGTGTTGAGAACGGTGTCCTGGACAAATCGGATGGAGCTTCCGTCAAATCTGCTGCCAGTGCAAAATCCTTCAATTCTCGAATAAACCGTACCTCAACGTCCTCCTCTACGAACACGCCCTCTGCCGTCTCCCCGACGTCCGATGATCAGCGCTCCCCTGTCGATGCCCCTGATCCCCCTCCCTCTCCTTCTCAGTCCTCCTCTCTAGGTCGTGGCCACAAAAGTCTTAATGATGCCCGGAAATTAAGCGAGGTCGATCATGTTTCTGACATTCCCCCTTCCCGACCAGCTCCGTCGTCCATTCGCGCGAAGCCAGGCGAGTCAATCCTTGTTAGGAGAGAAGGTGCTATAAATCCAGTTCTCCACGATGCTACTGTGGACCAGTCAGGGACAAATGGTTCTCCTGGGATGGGAATCGGAGCCTTAAAATCAATCGATCTAGATGACATGATCACAAGGTTGTTGGATGCGGGATATTCAGCTAAAGTCACCAAAGCTGTCTGTCTGAAAAACGCTGAAATCATTGCCATATGCACAGCAGCTCGTGAATTGCTCCTTTCCCAGCCCGCATTGCTCGAGCTCTCGGCACCTGTGAAGATCGTAGGAGATGTCCACGGTCAATATACAGACCTTATTCGGTTATTCGAAATGTGTGGCTTTCCTCCAGCTGCCAATTACCTCTTTCTTGGCGACTATGTCGACCGTGGCAAGCAAAGCTTGGAAACTATCCTACTTCTCATGTGCTACAAACTGAAATATCCCGAGAACTTCTTTTTGCTGCGCGGCAACCACGAGTGTGCCAATGTGACTCGAGTCTACGGATTTTACGACGAGTGTAAGCGCAGGTGTAATATTAAAATTTGGAAGACTTTCGTAGATACATTCAATTGTCTTCCGATTGCCGCTATTGTTGCCGGCAAGATCTTCTGCGTGCATGGTGGCTTGTCACCAAGCCTGGCTCATATGGATGACATCCGCGGCATTGCTCGCCCTACAGATGTTCCGGACTACGGATTACTCAACGACCTTCTTTGGAGTGATCCTGCCGATATGGACGAGGATTGGGAACCCAATGAAAGAGGCGTGAGTTATTGCTTCGGCAAAAAAGTTATAATGGATTTTTTACAGCGTCATGACTTTGACCTTGTGTGTCGTGCACACATGGTAGTCGAAGATGGTTATGAGTTCTTCAGTGAGCGGATTCTGGTTACCGTATTTTCCGCCCCAAATGTAAGTTCCCATACAATCCCTCAATTTCCCCCCTGAAGATTGATCTAATTATCCCGCCCTTATTTTAAACAGTATTGCGGTGAATTCGACAACTGGGGCGCAATCATGTCTGTTTCGGCCGAATTACTATGCAGTTTCGAACTATTGAAACCACTAGATTCTAGCGCCCTCAAAAGCCACATAAAGAAAGGCAGAAACAAGCGGAATAGCATGTTGAACAGTCCTGTAAGCATCGTTTTTCCCCACCCTATTCTGTCATGCAGCTCAATCGAAGAGCCGTTTTATCTACTGATTTTATCTATTCTAAATACTATGGATTTGAACTTACTTACACATACCACAACAGCCTGCTCTCGTATCTGCTCAGAGTTATTAAACTCGGGCATTTTTGGCCATTCCATTACCCCTGACATATATTAACATTTATACCGTGCTTAATCTGTGGGTTATTCAATTAATTTCCTCTTGGTTTCAACCTCCAATCAACTCTTCATGCCCGATCCAATCTCCCATCTTGGATATGCTCATGAGCTATCTGAGTATTCTTCTGGCTCAAATATCCAAAATAGAACTTATTCTAACTTATCACCTACATCAAAAGGATCACAAAGTCAACCCCATACCTTTGTCGCCTATGATGTTCCATTCTGTCCGTACACGGTTCCGGCGCCTCAATTCCTCCTTTTCTTCCACGGCTTTTAACCCAAAAGTCCATGCCTACAGGTCTATAACACCCTCGAAACGCCCGGCCGTAGAAGTAGACTCCAACGACGCCTACGAACAACGTCTAGTCCCGCGCGATTCTGATATGAGGCGCGTAACTTCTGTTGGCAGTGTTAATGCCAGCCATGATGATGAAGATGATGACGACTACGACGTTCTTCCAAATTCGCGCTCTAATTTTGCTGGCAGCGCAGCGGAGGCGTCTATGAATCTGTGGATTGTGGGCGCGGAGTCGATCCCTCGCGATCCCTAAATAAGTTGGTCCTGGAGTAGTGGCGGGGAACGGATTGGGGAAAATTGAGGCTGTACTCATGGATATTCTGATGTTGAGCATTGAAAATTATGGATATTATGGGATATGAGAATGTGCTCTTGACGTTTTTTTCCCTTATGCCATTGCCTTTTCATCGCTTCGCTTTTCAGATCCCTTTGTTTTATTTTCTTTTACTAGTCAGTTCATCATTCAATCGTATTATTTCCTTTCCTATTTTTGTTTTCACACCTGGTTCTTATTCCACCAGGTTGTCTCCCGCCACCGCCGAAGTGATGATGCAGACCACTTTTGCTATTATATACCTTACTGTTCTCTTCTTGTTTATTTTGCATATCATTCCTCTTTCTCTCCCGCCATGTTTACAACTTCCTTTTATATACACCTCCACCAATTACCGCTTATCCTCCTATGTAATAACTGGTCTTAGCCTGGGTACGCAATAAATATCACTAAAATACCCCCTCTCTTCATCACTCCTTTGTTTATGTTCCTAAAACACCCACTTTCCATCCCATTCTTAAGTTTTTTATAGATATCTATAAAAGCCTACATATTCAATTCAACTTCTCACATCATTTCCACGTTATCTCCTCGTATCCATTCTGCCTTTCTGTTACTCACACCTATGGTCTAAGCGCATTCCCCGCATGAATTCCATAGTATGTATGACAACCATCCAAAAACATTAACCAGTTAGTGTTTTCATTCTGTCAATCGTAAACCACATTTTTACTTTAATTATTATTGCTGTTAATGGTTGCCAGTTCTAAATTTATGCGTGTGTTTTTACCCGTGATCTTCTGAATTTGCTCTCTACGATTTGGGTCCCTCTCAGTATCATGTCCTTGCACTGGTTATAAATGAACCACGTAAGCTTTGCCAACAAAAATATTGAGTTTTGTCATAGTGAGGGGATATTAATTTTCCATCTCAAAGAGAGCGCTTTCATCTTCACAATTCAATTTAAAACGCATCTTCTCGTAATCACTGACATAATGAGTTAACTACCATACTGTATTAATGGATCAGAAAATTAAGTGAAACAAAAACAGAGCAAATAAAAGCTATATATGTAACTAGTCCAATTCCTTAGTGCTTGTTATTCTCTTGTTTTCATTTTTGAGATACATATAACCCAATCAGACACAAATGAGCGGAGTGCTGGCAGGCAGAGCTCTTTTATGAATTTAAATAATTCATTAGCAGCAGGACTGAATTGATCCAACAACAAAACATACTATAAATGAAATGAAAATGACATTAGCATGAGAAACAACTGTGATGAAGAAAAGTTGACAGACTGGTAAATCCTATTCAATGAAAATATAAAATATAAAACAAAATAGAAATGAACATGATCATATCATAATGAGGTAGCCTGATGAAGAGTATTTAGACTAAAGTAGTTGAACATCAAAGATTCTCATTAACCGATAACATAACTTCGGCATGGGAGAACGAAAACTGTCCAGGAGGGAACAAAACTAACAAATGGAAATGAATATGTGGGGGTGGAAAAGAAAAAAACAATGAGAACGGAAATGAAACTGAGTACTGTCGTAAGCTCCCAGTAAAATAAATCAGAAATGGAGAAAATAGTGGAATAGGGCGTTAGTGAAACCTGGAGGAATAAGATGTTAGGAGAATGGGACAATGAAAAGGTAACAAAACAAAAAACAAAAGTTTCTGACAATGCCGATACCGAGAAAACGTGAAACAATATAATACCTGCACCGGGCATGTATTTGATACGATACTTCTTATATAATATCCAACCACCAATAAGCCTGGGGAATGATTTCTGTTTGTGCTTTATTTACTATCCTCGCTTTGTGGGGCGGGTACTGCAGCAGAGACATCAGGGACAGCAGCCGGAGCTCCAGGAGCAACGGAGGCGGCCATATCACTCCCCGAAATCAACGTAGGAGCAATACGTCTCTTTTTAACTGCAGGAACAACGACAGTCTCATCGTTCGCTTCTGTTTCCTTGTTGTCATCCTCCTTCTTTTCTTTCGAGTCATCCCTCTCCGACTCACCAATGGCGCCTAGATCCCGCTTCCCCAGGACGCTGCCGCTTATCGAGCTTGCGGTGCTGTGGGAAATACCAGACATTGGTGTCTGCGGTGGCGTGGTTAGTGGGAAACCGGGGTGTGGCGGTGGGGCGGAGTTCGTGGCTGTTACAGACGGGACGGAGCTGAGGCTTAGTGTCGGGTTATTTATGACAGTGGAGTTGGAGCCGGAGCCTGGGATTGAGCTTGAGTTTGGTGGGATGCCGGAGGAGAGGTGGGCTAGAGATGAGGTCGTTGAACCGGCAGGGCTAGCGGGCCGGAGAGGAATAGTGGCCGTTGCGCTTGGGGGAGTTGGGACAGAAAGGGCTGGGCTGGGTTTTGGGATGGAGGGGGATGTTGAAATTGTATGGGGTTGGAGAAGTGTGGGAGTTGTGGAGATGGCGGTTGATATATGAGGGTGATGTGGTGCCTTTTCACCTGGGCTCAAGGTATAGACCTGGCCTAATTCTCCTGGTGAGAAAGCCAGAGTTGAGCAGAATCCGTCGGATGAGCTCATTACTAAAGTTAACCCATCGATAGACCTGATCGGATTGTAAGTATTTGAAATGAGTCCCAGAGAAATAGAGACCTCTAATTGCTTACCAAGATAAATCAGTAAATGTGGCATAGTGTAGATTGCTCACAACACATAGTGGTGTTTGCTGTTGAGTGTCATAAACCAGAACTGCATCCTGTGTTGCAACAGCGTAAACTATCCGATATGGCAGCACGAACGCAGAGTTGGGCTCTTGTGCTGTGCCATCCTCTTCAATAGTCTTGGGTGAAGCAAGAGGATGAGAAGTGTCTGATATAGATGTGTTAAGTGAAGGCGGGGGTTCCATCAACGGGTTGCTTGTTGGGATATTTGTAGAAACTGCGGCATCTGGCAAGGACGGAAATGCCTCATCACCAGATGAAGTGTCAAGCGTGATATGTTTGGTAGGTTTCGCTCCCTGCCGTAATGTATAGAAAACCGGAGAGCATCTCACTGCAACTGACGGCTTCTTCTGGCCTGGTAGGTGGGCGATTGGGGGTTTATTGAAGCCGGCACGGGTATAAATGTATACAGTATTAATAACCTCTTCAGTGGGTTTTGAAGGATCGCCCTGATTCCCTTGAGAAGCTTTATATTGTCCAGCTGGCGTAAAAAGCAAGCTCCCGTCTGGTGCAAATGTCAATCGTCTAAAAAAAGAAGTGAATGTTTCATTTGCATAGATGCTGGCATTTTTCACCCCGATGCCACCGAAAAGGATTGGGGAGGATGCCTCCAATGGCTTCACGGCGGGAAGTGGAATTGAGGGTGCAGGTGACGCTGATCGCCGCATTGATGGAGAAGAGCCAAATGAGGAACGACGACTATGAGACACCGGGGGAGGATCCATGGGTAAGACAGTGGTCATTGGTGTTCTCGGTGTCGATGGGCCGGGCGAAGATATGGCTAAAGAATTGGCGGTCGAAGACTGGGTTCCGAGGGCGATATCAGGAGGTGCAGGGCTATGGGACGATATTCGCCGTGCGGGGAGATCCATTTTGACAAATTTTCCATGGGATGTCAATGTGAACTGGCCGTCCTTAGTTTTCAGTGTATAAATATGCACCGATCGATCTGATGACTGCGTCGCTACAAATTCATTAAGTGGATCCCAGGCAACTCCCTGGACGTAGTGTGAATGTTCTGCTATTTGGCGAACCATTTGGCCTTAAATCGTCGTGTTCAAGTCAATGATTAATTCCCGGCAGTCCTCGACAGACAATGAGAGATCCTACCTGTTTGGGCGTTATATATTCGGGCAATATTGTCCATACTGCCCGTTATAAAAAAGACTCCGTCTGGAGACCAAGCCAGGTCATATATTTCAGCGCCGGAAGATCTGCACATGTGTTTCACCCTCCAGGTTTCCTTATCATCCGATCTATCTTCTCCCAGACCTCCATGTGATTGCAATTCGGAAGGGACCCAAAGCAGGACATTTCCATCGTCCCCAGCAGACGCTAGCATCTCACCTTCGTAGCCATTATCAGCACTAATGGTTGCAATGTGAAAGGGACGGGACGGAACCTTTAGGACTAAACCGAACAACATTAACAGCCTGTGTGTGTTTTATGAGGGTGGAAAGGTATGTGACTCTCCGCTCTTCGCCGTTGGCTTCAACTTTCCATAGCTTTGATATATATTAGTTAGAACATATGTATTTGAGGGGAGACAGAGGGTGGCGTGGGGAATCTCATACTCGAACATTGTTATCACTACAAGATTGTACATTGAACATTAGCAAATACCTTTGTATAGCAATCCGATCGAGACAGATATGGAACTTTACGTACTTCCCCGCTGTGACCAGTCGCCCTTTGCCATGGGGATCGAAATGTGTAGAGTAGATAGGGGCGTTGTCATCGTGCCAGGATATAAGCAAAGGAATAGCCTTCATGATTAAAACAGGAGGAGCTCGAGTACAGCGTCGACGCCGACAGGAGCTCGAGTACAGCGTCGACGCCGACAGGAGCTCGACTCCCCACGTCTTTAAACACTGCTGCCGCTGCTAATATCAATGCTAGTGAAGGTGGCCCGAAATGCCTGGCTGCATAGATGGATGGAGGTCAAAAATGGGAATAGCTAGCTATTGCCCAAGGCACAAATTGTGATAGTCTTGGGTAAGAGTAGGAGCAGGTGATAGTAGAGCGAGAGAAGGAAGTAGGGCGTAAGGCAGCAGAGATAGAATTACAAATAAGCGTGTAGAGGGTGCGTGTAGAATAGAGCAGTTAATGGAAGCGGAGTGGACATTGGGTGGCGGTTGATACAGCGTAAGGAGAGTTAAGTTGAAGTTGACTGGTCAAAGTCAGGTGTTTTGATATTTACTTCAAATGAATCACTATTCACAGATCTAGTTTACTAAAACATCTATTCATAACTAACTAGGTTTTTTAATATCAATCAACAAAGAATTGATTCTCTTTTCTTCTGACATATTAAATCAAACTATATTTAGTATTTTTTTAAAATTTTAATTTTTGTTTTAATTTTTATTTATTTATTTATTTATTTTTTGAAAGTAATATTTTATTTATCTAATAAGATTTTTATTTAATTTATAATATTTATTATTAAGCAATTAATATTATTGAGTAGTAAATATTATTAAATAGTAGATTTTCTTTAAAAATTATTAAATATTTAACTTAACTATTTTTAATATATTATTTCTTTATATTTTTTTTAAAATATCTTTATCTTAAGAATTTTATACATAGTTGATCTGTTGATATCTAAATCTCTTATAATAACTTCTTATTTTTATATTGCTCTCTAAAGTATTTTTTGAAGAATAAATACTTTAGAATCAGTATCTCAGAATTAGAATTTTAAAATCAGCATTTCTCATAAATTAGTACTTAAAATCAGTACTTTATATTATGTTACTAATTTTTTATTTTATAAAAGAGTATTATATTATCAATTTCTCATTTTATAAAAGAT